ACTACAGCCGGGCAGTGAGAAGGACAGGTGACAACCTGGATTTGCAACTGACTTATGAAGTGTGGGGGGAGGGGAGTCCGGGGGGGCAGTCTTGTAAAACTATGCCCGTAATCTGTGGATTTGAATGCTATTTCCAGGTGAATAGCATCAGAATCAGTGAACCAGGCTGAATTGTAGGACACCTGGCTGGCTTCCCCAGTGCTGTTTGTTGGTTTGGAGAAACCACACCCCAAATCGGAAACTGAGTCCAGAGCCCCTTTACATGCCAAAGCCCCCCGCCCAAGATGCTAAAGGAACTGGCTGTGGAGTAGCAGGTGCCTGGCCTAAGATCCCCCAGGGGATCATAATGTGCAGCCGTGTTGAGAAACGAAGCTACGGGTGGTATGCCCACAGGCGTCCCAGTGCTCTTAATGCATATTTAAGCTCTAATCACTTCAGAAGTATAAACAAACTTTGGGGGAAAAAAAAAAGATTGTTTTTAGAGCAGTTTTAGGCATATGTAAAAATGTATCAGGAAGCTCACAGAGTTCCCGAATATTCCCTCTCTAGCCCTCCCACCCCAATTTCCCCCATTATTAACGTCTGGCCTTGGTGGGGTCATTTGTTAACAATGGGTGAACCATAATATTGAATCGTTGTTATTAACTAAAGTCCACAGTGTGAGTTAGAGTTCACTCTTGGTGTTGTAGGTTCTGTGAGACTTGATACATGCATAATATCAGGTATTCACTATCACACATGACACAGGATAGTTTCCCTGCCCTAAAAATCCCCAGCGCTCCACCTACTCATCCCTCCCCCCACCCAACCCCAGGCAACCACAGATCTTTCTGCTGTGTCTCCACTTTTACAAACTTATTTTTGAAGGCATTTAAAAATGCAGCTAATTAAATCTTTTGGCACGGACTAAGTTTTCCACATTTGAATCAACATTTCCCGCTCTCGCTTTTTTGTTTCAGTCCTCCTTGCCACCTTCAATCGGAGGGACCGAAATAAAAATTTTAAATTTAAAATCTATCAAACTCCCCAAACTAAATAAATGTAAAGGAGATGTAAATAGACTTTCAAATGCTGATTCTGGTTAAGTTTGCAGCATTCACACTTTCCGAGTTACTAAAACGGAGAACTGGGCTCAGACTTCTGGAACATGCCGTGTTCGGGAAAGGAGAAGGCAATGGATTCCACGCGCCAGAAGCGGCTTCCATGGGATGATGCGGGGAGGTGACCCGTCCCAGAGGAGGGCCAGTGGGGAGAACAGTCATGGTGAAGGACAGAGTCACAGAGTAATGGCTGGGGTGCCAAGGAAATGCTTGCTGCTCAGTTCTGGATCGAGCTTGGCATGCACAGTGGCACACAGCAAGAAATGGGGTGAGAGGGGTAGAAGGAGTCATGGGGGGCCACCGAAAACCACATCAAGATTGGTGCTAGCTTGGGCCATAGGGAGCCGTGGAAGGTGCCCGAATAGCAGAGTGGCCCATCTGAATTGTAAGGGGAAAGGACCGTAAGACATGTAGCAGAGACAGCCCTGTGCTGGCCACTCCCTGGTCTCCCCTCCTTCCAGGCACATGTGACCGACCGCACTCCCTACGCCTTTTTTGGGTATGACCCTGTGACCGGTTCTCGTGATGGAAGGTGTGCACATATAGGGGTCGTTTCTGGGTGGAAGCGTTTAAGAAGCATCGTACAATTCACGCGCTCCACCTTGGGAGCCCGTGTTCAGACAGTGGCAACGTGAGGCGGTAGGTCCTCTGTCGTCTGTCTCCCCGAGGAACGACGAGCAGGTCTTTGCTGATGAACCTGTTCGAGTAGCCGGAGCCAAAAATGATCTCTGCTGCCTCGAGCCTCTGCAGGCCCAGGAGGATGAGGGTCCAGATGAAGGTCACAGGGCAGTGATGTCATGTAGTGCCAGCTGTCTGTTGCCACCCCGAACTTGGGGGCTTAACACAGTAAGTGTTTCTGTAGGTCCTGAGTCTGTGTGTTGGCTGGATGGTTCTTCTGGACTCACACACCTGGTGGTCACTTGGGCGTCTGGATAGGGGGCTCTGCACCAATTGGCTGGACTCTCCCGGGTTTGGGATGGGCTTGGCTGGGACCCCACAGGTGGCTCTGCTAGGCCTGTAGGTCTTCCCTTCTGCGGACTAGTCCCCAAGTGTTCTCATAGGGAGGGCAGAGGGGCAAGCGAAGAAAGTGAAAACAGGCAAGGACCTGTTTTTTGTTAGGTCACATCAGTTAACATCTCATTAGCAAAGTCAGTCACAAGCCTGAGCCCAGAGTCTAGGGGTAGAACAGAGGCCCTGCTCACAGTGGGGTGACATATTGGGGCCATTTGGGCAACTACACCATTACATCATACAGAGGTGAGACCACAGGACTTGATGCCTGATTGGACATGGAGGGAGACATCCTGAATGTTTCCAGCAGTGGCCATCAGCTTTGACCGCCATCTCTATACACGCCCGCCACCCCACCCACCTAGATGTGGCCTCTGTTTTCATGCCCCTGGAAACTAGGCTGCCCTTGGGTCTCACTTTGACCAGCACAATGTGAAGAAGAGACCCCGCGCCAGTTCCCAGCCTTGCCCAGCTGCCATGGAATTGTGCTCAGGCTAGACCACTGAGTGATGAGCGACCATGTGGAGAGACAGTGGCCACCTCAAGGGAAAGGCACACATGCGAATGAGAATCTTCTACTGGATTCCCCCTGAAGGATGCCACATGATGAGTGAGCCCAGATAAAACCAGAAGACTCATGAGAAATAATAAACCATTGTGGTGGTAACCACTATGTGTGTGTGTGTGTGTGCATGGGTGTATATATGTATGTGTGACTTGTTACGCAGCAGTTGCTAACTGATAAAAGGGGAGATGGTGAGAAGGAGGCAAGGCTGATGCTCACGTTTAGGACTCGAGTTCGTAGAGCAGTGGCGGTACCGTTGTCTGAGATAAGAACTCCAGAAGGAGGAACTGGTTTGAGGAAAGAGTGGTGGATAGAAGTTTGTTATGCCTGAAGGACTGAAGGATGTGGAAAGTGGGACTACAAGTGGGCCAAGGACAGAGTCTTGAGACGTACTCCTCTTCAGAAGTGGTTCTTTAGTGGATAAAATGACTATCTGGTGAGAGCGTAAAGATGCGTGTCCCCCGGCCCAGCCCTTGAGTTTCTGATTCAGGAGGTCTGGATGGGCCTGGAAATCTGCTCTGCAGCCTCGTTCCCGCCCTTCGGCTCCCACTCCCACAGATGGAAAATTCCATCCCCGGTGAGTCAGGAGTTTGGCTGGGGACAGTGGAAGAGAGACCTGGAGCAAAGCGGAGAGGAGGTTTATTTGAGTTTACTTTTTAGTGTGGGATGGGATCATTTTTACAGCCTTGTGGGGAGGAGTGAGGGAGAGAGTGAAGAATGGAAGACCTTCCCTGCCTTGGAGCTGCGAGACTGGCTGAGTGGGAGGGCCCCTGGGTAATGAGAGATCGCAAGGCTGCTAAAGACAGCTGGGAGCAACCTGCCGGAAGTGTCTTAGAGGACGTCAGTAAGGAAGATCGGAAGTGGGCCGGCCTTGGGCCTCTGCTGTGTGGCTGAGGGGGAGAAAGAACCTGTGGTTATGAGAGTTCAGTGGAGCCTTCTGGCTGCGAGATCCCGGGCAAGCCACTTAACCTCTCTGAGCCTCACTTTCTTCAGTGAAAGAATAATTTGCATCCTGCCTCCCGTTGTATGGCCTAGTGGTCAAGAGCCCAGGCCCTACATCAGATTTTGTTGCTTACTGGCTCTGAGACCTTGGGCAAGTCATTCCCGGTGACCCTGTCTTCCTCCCTGAAAACTGGAGATCACAACAGTCCCTGCCTAACAGGTGACTTCGTCTCTGACCTCTGGGCCTGTTCATGCAGTTCGTTCTGTCTGAAATACCACTTGTCACCCCCGCTACCACCCTGTCCCAATCTGGGTGTCAGCTTTAAGGACGTCTTCCCTATCACCCCACTTGTCTCCTGTCATAGCCTTTATAAAACTAATGACCGGCTTCATTATCCACTGTGCCAACCAGTCTGGGCACCGGACAACAGGAATCAGGGCAGTTTGGTAAGACCAGCAGCTCGTACAGAGCCACTTGGCACCATGTGTTTCGGATGACCGTGCAGACTCGGGAGCCCCATGGCCCAGGTTCATCACTCTGTCTCCCTCGCTAGGAGCTGTGTGACCTGAGGAAAGTTCACACACATTTTGACCATCAGTTTTCTCACCCAAAGGCACAATTTTGGGAACACTGCTAGCATGGATTCAGGCAAGAATGATGCTAAAACCGCTGAGTGCAAGGTTAATGAACAGGATATTCAAACGATCTCAACGAATCATCTCAGAATCTTTCTTCATTACAAATGGACAAGGGTACCGTTTGCTGGAGAGGCAGGAGGGACAGACGCCCCCTTCCCCAAGCCAAGTGGCCAAGCCCTCATGGTTACCAACCACGGGACCCATTGGCATTCAGTGCCTCTCACCGTGACACCACAGTTGAGCACATCACTCAAGGGCCTTCTGCCAAAACCTTTTAACGGAATCTAATCATAAGGGGGGGTGGGGATTCTATAAGGCAAATGGCCTGGACTATATCCAAATTTATCCATGTCCTAAAAGACAAAAAATGGCAAGGGGGAGGGAGAGGAGGACTGTTCTGAATTAAAAGAGACTGAAGAGAACAAAGGGAAGGTGCGACTTTTGACTGGATCCAGAATAGGGGGGTGTGTGTGAGAGGGTCTTATTTAGGACAATTGAATACATTTGAATTTAAAGTGTATGTTAGCTAATAATTTTGCATCAGTATCAAATTTCTTGGGTATGAATGGGCACTGAGGTCATGTAGGACAATGCCTTTGCTTCTAGGAGCTACATGCTGAATAATTTACGAAAGATCTCCGCAGCTCAGTTTTAAAGGGAACAGGAAAAGACCAGCCCCAAGCACCTGACACAAGGTCCGCGCGTGCGCAAAGCACTCTTTCCGAAACTTTCTTCGCGCGGCTGGAGAGTCAGATTGGGCGCCGGGAGGCGGAAATACGTAAGGGCAGGTTCCGGTGACCGTGGAAACGTCGAAGGCAGCAGAATGGAGGAGGTGCCTCAGGGTGAGTGCACGGAGGGGGCGTGGGTGGCGGGGCTGAAGGGACAGGAGCCACTTTAACTGTGACCTTGTGCCCGCGCAGGCTGTCCCGGAACCGGCAGCGCCCAGGCGGGCCGAGGGGCCTCATGTCAGGGCTGCCCCAACCAGCGGCTCTGCGCCTCCGGAGCCGGCGCCGCTCCCGACCCAGGTGAGGAAAGGGCAAGACCTGAACCGGAACTGAAGGGCGCTAGCCAGGAAGAGGTGGGACCGAAGCCTGGGCGACTGAGGCGGGACCGGGAGGCCTCTTAGGAGGGGTGGGTCTAGAGGAGGTGGGCCATGGAAAAGTCCGGAAGAGTAGAGGGAAGCAGTGGGATGGGGCGGAGCCTGAAGGACTATTGACTGGTGTGGAGTCCAAAGGGGCTTCAAGAGGGGCGGGGCCGGGGAAGGGGTGGGGCCAGAGGTTTGAGTGACAGTGACTGACGGGTCTGGTGGGGGCCGTCGTCCTAGGGAATAGGGTATAGACTTTGAACTGGGGGTTGCTCGGGAATATTCTTTGGACAGAATTGTCTTGCTTTTGAAAAGGATTGATTCTCCCATTCATTTAACAGAAATATATATTCACCTGGGCACAGTGCTCAGTGCTGGGGATACAGCTGCGAATAAGAGAGACGAGATCACTGCCCTAGTGGATGTGAGTTTAATAGGGGAGACCCACCATAAACAAGTGAGCAAGCAAATAAATCATCGCAGCAATAAGTATGACGAAGGACAAATCGGAGGGTGGGAAACACTGGGGATTTACCAAAAGGATCTTAAAAAGCAGGAGCCTGGGAGAATTCTGAAGGAGTTCGAAGAGAGAGTCGGGTTTGATTCCTGGGTCCTGCAAAGAGTATGACCTTGAGCGAGACTTCTAAGGTCTCTGAGCCTCCATTTCCTTATCCAAAATGGGGCGAGGGGCGCCTGGCTGGCTCAGTCCATAGAGCATATGACTCTTGATGTCAGGGTCATGAGTTCAAGCCCCACATTGGGCTTGGAGCCAACTTTTTTTTTTTAAGATTTATTTATTCATTTGAAAGAGAGTGCACTCACAAGCAGGAGATGGGGAGAGAGAGAGAGACAGGAAGAGAATCCCAAGCAGACACCCCACTGAGTGCAGAGCCAGACCTGGGGCTTGATTCTAGGACCCTGAGATGATCTGAGCTGAGCAGAAACCAAGAGTCAGACGCCTCTTGGAACCTACTTTTTAAATATGGGGCAGGTAGAATATTTACTTCATGGTGGTATTTTAAGGAATTGAAGTAAGTTGAAAGATTGAATGCATAGCAAATGTATAATCTGTGATAGTTATCTGTGACTGGTCCTCATAAATGCCTGCTATTTGTCAGGGATTCTTAACCTTGGCACTACTGCCATTTGGATCTGGATAATTCTTTGGGGTGGAGTGCTGTCCTGAGCATTCTTAGACATTTTTTTAAAGATTTATTTGACAGAACACAAGCAGGGGGAGGGGCAGAGGGACAGGGAGACAGTCTCCAGCAGACTCCATGCTGAGTGGAGCACAAAGCCCAACAAAGGGCTCAGTCTCACGACCCTGAGATCATGACCAGAGCCAAAACCAAGAATCGAATGCTTAACCAACTGCGCCACCCAGGCACCCCTCATTGTTAGACTTTTAGCAGCATCTGTGGTCTCTACCCACTACGTACCAGTAGCAACCCTTCCTCATGACAACCAAAAATGTCCCCAGGAGGATTTTGCCCCCAGGTTGGGAACCATTACTATGTGTGAAGCTCTTCTGGAGCTGAGAATATAGCAGTGAACACTTCAGACAGTCTCTATCCTCATGGGGCTTAGGTTCTAGCAAGGGGAGACAGACGAGTAAACCAATAAACAAGAAAATTTCGAAGAGGATAACAGCTTTATTTTCTTTGTAGTACTTATTGCTGTCATTGACTAGGTGGTATTTCACACACAGTCCCTTGAAATAGCCCCAAGGATTTAGCTCCTACTAGTCCATTGGAAAAGTGACACTTGAAATTTAGTCAGGGACTTCATCACCTGATTTGCTTTCTTTGCAGCCATAGAAGAAATCAAAGAGAAAATGAAGACCGTGAAACACAAAATCTTGGTGTTATCTGGGAAAGGTGGTGTTGGAAAAAGCACATTCAGTGCCCACCTTGCCCATGGCCTAGCAGACGATGAAAACACACAGGTGAGACCTTGGGAAAAACTGGGAGAGGCTCCTATATGAGGGTGTGTGATGATTTCTGGAGAACTGATTCCTTAGACTAAGTTGAATTGGTCTTTTGGGAATCTAGATCCTTGCAGAGAGAAGGAGGAAAAGCATGGCAGCTATGCAGTGAAATGAAGTGTTTCATTAGATTCTCTAGCTATGAAAATGGACAGCAGGTGTACATTTCTCTTGGCATGCTGATCATTTTGTTAAGTTCAGACTTCTTTCTCTTACCCCCTTTCTGCCTGTTTCTAGGCCAGAGTTCTGCAAGCTATAGCCCATGGGCAAATTCAGCCCCTCTCTTGCCTTTTTATGGCCTGTGAGCTAAGGATGATTTTTACATCTATAAACATTTGCTTTTAAATTGCTTTATAGTATCCTTGATTTTGCCCATAAAGCCTAAAATACAGTTGACCTTTGAACAACATGGGTTTGAACTGCATGATTCCACTTATATGTGGATTTTCTTATAGTTATTTCGCTTAATAACATTTTTTTCTCTAGGTTACTGTAGTATGAGAGTACAGTGTGTAACACATAATGCACAAATATGTGCTAATCGACTGTTAACTGTAAGACTTTGGTCAACAGTAGGCTATTAGTAGTTAAATTTTGGCGGAGTCAGTAGTAATACATGGATTTTCAACTGCACAGAGGTTGCCCCTAACCCCCCGCCTTGTTCAAAGGTCAAGTGTATTTTCTATTTGACTCTTGAGGAAGAAAACATTTGCCAACCCCTGAACTGGGCCACTCACTGGTGCCCAAGTATACACGTGAGCACGAAAACTCCAATTGCCCAGTAAAAATCAGCTGCTCTCTGGATTTCAGCTTTAATGGAAAGTATGGTATGATGAGGAAGAAAAAAATACTTTCTACCACAAAGCTCGAATGGAAATTTACCATGCCTGTGATTTTAAAAATACATTGGGTTGTTCATGGGACTCAGGATAATTTTGCATTGACCTTAGAAAAGTGATCCCAGTATTCACTTTGATTACCACTTGATACCTGATAAAACCATGAATACTGCGGTTTCTAATTTTTTTTTAAACACAGAACACATTCCATCTTTGTTTTCTTCCAAAATGAAATTTTATTCAAAATTCCAGTGGAAAAAATGCTTACCCATCAGAGCTGCTAGAGCAGCATGCATGTCTCTTAGAATCCAGCTATCCCATGGGTTGACCCCTTGAATCGAGAGACCTGGCTGAGGACTTGTATGCTGGTGCTATGCGTGGCCTGTCTTAGAGAGCCTGCTGCTCTCTGGATGGGAATTGCCAACTAACTGTACTCTTGCGTCTCAGGACACCGTTCAGGGCCTGCAGAGGAGTTCTGCATAACACAGGCAAACAGTTGTGTTTTGTGCATGCTGTTCCTTCCCATTTCAGTTCTTCCCACGGTCGTCATGCCTTCTTTATACATTGACTTATTTCTGAGCATTAGTTTTCTTCTTATGCATTTGTGATACTGAGTAATTTTTATATACAAGGGTTGACATTCAGTTCAGATTTCGTTTCTAACTGATAAATGGCCCTTCACTTTTGTTTGACTAAAAAAAAAAGAGTGCTAAATGGGGCTGTAAAGGTACATTTAATCTAGTATTGAAATTTCAAAACTGCCACATATTGCCCGTTATATTTTGAAACTCTAAAAGCTGGGTAAATTTCAGTGTTGTATACCTGTAGTAGGTAAACCATTTTACCTAAGTGTGAAATAGCACCATAAGATCTTAACATAAAGCTTAATTTTTCTCCATAAAAAAGCCAGCTACAGTGAGCAGAGGATCTAGCTCACCATTCTTACATGCGCTGCAGGACACTGAGATGAGACACCTCGCTAGTGTCCAGGAACTCCAGGAATACAGTTCTCAAATCTCTGGATTAAGAAATTAGAGTTTGCTTCAGGACTGGGCAAACTGTGTGTGTGAAGAGCCAGATGGTGAATATTTTAGGTTTTGCTGGCCCTACAGTTTCTTTGGCAACTGTTTAGTCCTACCCTCAAACAGGAAAGCAGCCATAGACAGTCTGTAAACAAACAAACTTGGCTGTGTTCTAACAGAATTTTATTGTCACTGATATTTGAATTTCATAGAATTTTTACATCATGAAATAGACTTTTTTTTATTCCCCCCCCTCCCCACCTTCTAAAAATGTAATAACTGTTCTTACCTCATGGGCTGTACAGAAACAGGTAGCAGGCGGGGTTTGGCCCCGGGTTGTAGTTTACTGGCCCCTGGTTTGGTCTGTAGCACCAGGAACACTGGTGCTGGCTGGGGAAGTGCATCTGTGAAGGAAGACTGAGACCTGGGCCAAGCCCCAGCCTTCTTGAGAGTGAAGAGGCTGAACTTGGTGATCTGTAATGCTCGGCTTTCCTCTCACTCACCCAGGCTCTGAATTCTCCCTTATTCCTCATTTCTGTTCTGATCATTTTAGAATGCTGGAGCTGTTCCTGCCGGCCTGCCAGTGGCTGAGGTGGGCTTCTCTGAAATCTGGCATCCACCATCCAAGATGTGCTGTAGGGATTTGGGACAAGGGTGAGAAGCCTGGGAGGGACAACTGGGCTTAGGGAAGGCAGCCTCTGGACTGTGGTGGGGATGGATGGAATGTGTGTATGGCAGGCAGTCTGGTGGGGCTCCTCTAGTGAAGGGGACCAAGGAAGAGGCTGAGCCAGACTAGGGAGGCTTTGAGTGACCTGGTAAGACATTTGGCATGCATAGAGGCAGGATTTGAGCATTGCTTTAGGAACATCGCAATGACAGTCAGCCCAGTGTGTGATTGGGTATCATTAGAGGGGACAGGAAGCCAGTCAGGAGATGGTGTTCATGTCTCGTGAGCAGCCACGAGGACCCTGATCAGGGCAGTGGGTGGAACAAGTGCGAGGGGACAAATGCGGGCAGAGTTGGGACGATGGAAGAAGTAGGGCCTCACCACTTCGGAGAAGAGGGGGTGTTTGGAGCTCCGGTTGAGCATTTGGGGCATGGTGGTGGGTACAGTCAAGCCTGGTGGCGGGGAATACAGGCTCTGGAGAGAGACTGCCCAGGTTCACATCCCAGTTCACCCACACCACTTCTGTGACCTTGGGCAGGTTACCAGGCTCTCTGCCTCAGTTTGCCCTGTAAGACAAGAGTCAGGAGCAAGTGAGGTAATGCACGTAAATGTAAAATGCTTAGCATGGTGTCTGATGTGTAGTAAGTGCTCGATAAATGGCTGTGATAGCAATCATTGGTCCTTTATCCACTAACCGGAGCGCGGGGCAGAGGTGGTGATTATTTCTGCTTGTAGTGCCGGGTTTGTAGCCCGCCCCACCGGGCACGGTGCTGAGCAGGCTCAGAGTCCGCTTGTTGATCCATCCTTCTGTTAATCAACAGTCTCCTGCCCTTTGAGGTTCAAATGTGCATTGGCTAGTTGGTTGGCCAAAAACTGATTGTTTCTCTGAGAGAGTATTCATATCGTCCAGAATGCTCTCTGCTTTTGGAAGCTGTCAGGCATGTTTTATTTTGTGTGTGTGTGCACGTGAAATTTTTTTTTAATATAAAATCATAGTGTATTATTAGTTTCAGGGTAGAATTTAGTGATTCATCAGTTGTGTACAACACCCAGTGCTCATTACATGAAATGGCCTCCTTAATGCCCATCGTCCAGTTACATCCCCCCACCCACCATCCCTCCAGCAACCTTCAATTTGTTTCCTAGAGTTAAGAGTCTCCCTCTCTGATTTCATCTTCTCTTATTTTTCCTTCCCTTCCCCTATGTTCATCTGCTTTGTTTCTTAAACAGCTCTCTGAAGATGGGCTTTAACCAGGCCAGATGCAGGTAACCACTTGGAAAGAGAGAGCTGTTTGTATATAATGGTGCTTCTATATAATTCTGTTGTGAAGTAGTTGCCTGGACTTTGCAACTACAGGAAAACGCACCACCATTTGGTGTGGAAATACGGCTAGAGAAGCTCGTATGCGATTAGAACCTAGGAAATATTTTAAATATTTATAAAAACAGTTTTGTTTTAAAATGAAGAACTATGACTATTGTACAGTTACTTTCCTCACTGAGGACTCTGAACATTCCTGTATTATTTCATGTGTATTGAAGAACACATGGTGGCTTACAAAAAAAAAAAAGTCCACACTTAGGAAAGTGTATTTCCTCACAGATCCTACTCATGACTGAAAATGCCACTGTGTCCAAAGGGTGCAGGATATTGACAGACAGTAGACTCTGAGTCTGTCTGGTTGATTGATCTCAAGTAGTACACATTCCTTCCTTGCCTAAATTGAGGAGGGAAACGCCTGGTCCCTTTTCTGTCTGCTATCTGGTGGAAGCTCATCCCTAACTCTGAGCAGGGCTGTTCTGTGTTAACGCTCAAGGCAGGCAGGTGTCCAGCAGCTCGTTAGGAAAGGGCGTGAGCCAAGAGGGAGCAGAATTGGGAACCACCCCCCTGACTAATGATGGGCAGGCTGGGGAGGGTGTGAGTTGTGGTGAAGGGGGCAGGAGCCTTGATAGTTAACACCTGAGCTGGGAGACACCACAGACTAGCATGCTGTTTATCCACAGCAGGGTCACCTGCTCCCACAAGTGACCCCGGGGTCATCTTGCCTTGTAATCTGAAAGGCGAGCTATAGCACTAACAGGTCTGCTCTAGGGGCTTCCGGACTGAAGTTTCTGAGGCCCGTCTCTGGGACTGATGGACTTTGGAGCTGGAAGGGGCCTGATGATCTCCTGAACACTTGTTTGACAGAAGCTCCGACAGAAGCAATTTGTATGAAGTGACCCAGCCTTGGAGTGCCAAGAGTCAGCACTACAGCTCACCTCCCAGGACTTCTTCTTAAGGGGAAGTTTGGGGGTGCTGAGTATGGGAAAGTTTTGGATCCTGACAACACCCTGTTCCACGACTCTCTGGCTGGGAGAGAGGTGTGGCAAAGCCTGTTTGTTAGGTTTCTAGCACCTTCCACAGAGGCCCTGGTAAGAGTTACTCAGGCACATTTCTCTCTGCTCGGGTTCTCTGGTCTGAGCAGAAAGGGAATCCAGTTGGATGGATATTAAGGTAGTGACAGGTTCAACAGGAAGCCTGAAAGGGACAGGACACAGGGCCCCTCGGAGGTCTGCATAACAGGGACATGTCATAGCCTTTTTGGGTACCACCATGGGAGTGAGTGCCCGTGATTTGTTTCCTGCATCCTTGCATCGTTTCCCTCAAGATTCACCCCCTTGGTTGAGCATAGTTCCTTGAAACAAATTGTTCCCCACAGAAAGGGCACGGAGACGGAGTGGCTAGAAACCGAGAGTACTGTTAAATCTGTTAGGGTCACAGTAATGGTGTAGTTTCCCGAGTCATGAGGCTCTGAGGTAAAATGTCTGTGGATCATTAACACATACCAGCCTTGTGTGTCAAGAAGGCGAAGGAAGTCAGGTTGTCAGCCTGAGTATCCTTCTGTTGCGTTCTTCAGGTGGTCCAGCAGAGGGCGGGGGAGGCAAGCGGCTGATCTGAGGATGAGAAGTTCTCCTGATCACGGGTGTGAGGAAGCAAGAGGTAGGTAGGGGTTTGCAGGGTGCAGTGAAGAGAGAAGCAAGAAACCAATTAAGGGCAAGTTAAAAAGTTACCCAGATGTGCTGCACTTTGGATGCTTGACATTTGAGCTTTCAAGATGAGTATTAACTCTCCTCTTCAGAGGGTTCCTGAAGACCGTCTCAGACCTCATTTATCACACTGAGAAAGCAAGGATGTTTGGGGTGGAAGGAGTGATTAGAGGTTGCACAGATCACTAGCAAAGAGCTCTTCTAGACTTCTTTCAGGAACCTTCCATCATTAACCTTCAGGATCACAGCACAGTGGGGCTCGGTCAGAGCTCAGTGGGAGGTTCCACTCTGGCCCTTCTCTGCAGGCCCCATGGGGTGGTGGAAAGAGCCCTGGTGTTGGAGTCACCAGGCTTCAGATTATGTCCTGGCTCTGCTGCTTGCTTCCTGAACGAATCCTTGGGCCTCTCCAACCTCCATTTCCTCTTCTATAAAGCCGAGATGATGATACCCACCCCTCAGGCACGTGGTAAAGGCCGAGTGAATGGTGGCTGGACCTGAATCTTTAAGGGACCTGACGCCGGGTCTGGAGGATCACCCCAGAGTGAGGCCAGACATGGGGGATGGGTGTGGAAATCCATGGTGTTGCTGTGCTTTGCCAAGCTCTTTAGGAGTCTGAGACTGTGTGGCCATGGCCTGGAAGATAAATGTTGGAACTCCCCCGAGATTCCTCTCGGTCCTTGCTTGACTCCATTTCTTTCCATCTTCTCTCCTTCCTCCTTTCCTCAAGAACTCTTGTTTCCTTCCCAGTGGTGCACATCTGAAAGATTGTACATTCAGTCGAGTCACTGCTCTGGTCTCTTCTTGTTTCCCAGGTCGCTCTTCTGGACATTGATATATGTGGACCATCAATTCCCAAGATAATGGGACTGGAAGGAGAACAGGTAATAATGATAGTGGGAACCACAGGAAAGTATTCTCACGGCACACCCTAGCACCGGACTACTCCCACACAAAGGGGTCAGCAGAGCCATGCGTTTTTATGCGGCCCTGTTGAAACCAGGTGAATGTTCACCAGTCCGTCTGTCTGCCTCAATGACCACCGTGAGCTTGGGGGTTGGGACTGGATATAAAGTGCACCCACATCATTTGAGAAGCATCAGTTTCAGTGCCTTCTTAGAGGGGAAGGGAAACAGCAAGTAAAATGCAGAAGTAGGACACAGAAACTTCGCACTGCCTGGGAAAGCTAGACCAGTTCTTGCTAGGGGTCTGTACCCTGGAAACGAGGGAATGTTTTTGCCCTTGTTACCCCTGGGGAACTGAGACTGTGAGGTGGCAAAGTGACGTGGGGTGGGGACAGGGCCGCAGCACCACAGCAGTCCGTGCAGGTGCCGGTCCCCCTCCTCCCCCCGGGTGGCAAGAAGCTGTCCCAGAAAGGGTCCCCCTCAAAGGCAGTGCACTGAAACAGGGCTGGGGGGCTAGGATGTTCCCAGGGTGTCACATGGGTTCGTTCATTACGTCATTGCTGGGCCCTGCTGGATGCTGGGATACAGTAGTGCACGAGGCAGATCAAGCCCCCTGCCCTGGTGGGAGGCTGCAACTGATAGTAGAAAATGAAAGCTGGGTAAGGGGACAGGGCGAGCCAGGGTGTGGTCAAGGGCACCATGCTGTGGAGAGCGGGTGAAGAGCCTTCTGGGCCACGGGAGCAAGTGCAGGAGCGCCGAAGCCAGCATGTACTCCGAACAATGAATAGTGGCAGAGGGACAAAGGGAGGGTGGCTGGACAGTAGCCAGAGGCAGACAGGCCAGCCTGTGGACTCTGCTCAGGGCTTGGGATAGGTGCTGAGGGGGCTGGGAAGGGCACGACGCCGTCCAGGGTGGAGGCAGAGCTGCAGGGTGCACGTCTGCGCACGCGCCCACCGGGAACAGGCTGTGTAGCAGGCGCCCGCAGCATGGCCGAGTGCCTGCTTACCTGTAAGCGCTGTCCAGCTAGCCCTGACTGCACCCTTACGTGAGCATCCTACGAACGCCGACGTTTTTACGTGGTGAGAGAACAGAAGTTGTGCTCTTTTCTTCTCCTACACCACGGGGCATTTCCTTTATCCCTCTTTCAAGCCTGCCACCGTGGAGACTGAGTTTAAACAGGAATTAAGGGTGGTGGTTACATTAAGAGTTGGGTGAACTAGGTGCAGAGGGTTGAGCATACAGCTGTGGTGAGGAGCATGGACTCAGACATGGAATTGTTGAATCACTGGAGTACCTCTGAAACGGATGCAGCATTGCACATTACCTGTATTGGAATTTAAAAAGTACATAAAAATTGAAAAGACCTTAAAGCCAATCACCCAAGACAATGTATTCTAGGGCTGCATTTCTGGGAAGTGTCCAGAACAGGCACATCTGTGGAGACAGACAGGAGCTGGGGGTCACCTAGGGCGGG